CTCAACCAAGGCAGTTTTTTAAGGAAAATCCCTGGAGCTCAGGGAAGGTGTGATGGGCGCTGGTTTCAATCCGTGCTGGGATGAAAGGGGCTGGAGAAATGCAGATTATTGAGCAGCTCCCGCTGATCCCCTCCTCAATTAACTTTTCTTTTTTTAGGATTTAGGTTGGGAAGACACAATTTTTCCCCGGCAGGACCTGTGCTGGTTTAACCCCCAAGGTTACCCAATTACCTGCCTGGCTTGGGCCTTAATTACTGCCTCCATAATTTCTCCCTGCTCTGTAATTCCCAGGATCTCTGCTGCTCTCCAGCCTCCAGGGATAATTGCTTTTCCTTGAGGACGCCCAGGATTTCCTCCTGTGCCTTTCCTCCCCTGATTTCCCAGATTTTTCCATCTTTTGGGGAGTTTTCCTGCCCCAGGTGCTCCTCAAACTCAAATTCAGTCCCAGTCTGGGTCTTTTTCCTGTTGTTTTCCCATTGTTTTCCCCCATTCCCTGTCCCCACAGCGTGTTTGGGATGGTTTATGTTGGTTTTTGGTGCTGGGAGATGAGAAAAGGAACCTGGTCCTTCCCAGGTTGGTGTCCTGGGAAGTTTTCTTGTCCCTTTTTTCCAGTCCAGCCTTAAAGATTCCTCCTTCCCTTGCAGCTCCACACTGGAATGGTGCCTTAACACTTATAAAATAGAAATATATTTACGTTACATCGATTTTTGCTGCATAAGGAATAATTCCCAGTGGCAGAGGTGCTTCTTGCAGGGAATTTATGTTTTGTTTTTCCTGAAAGACAAAAAAAATATGTTTTGTCTGTCCTGAGACCCCTTGTAGGAGCAATTCTCAAATGAATTTGGTTTGGCAGGAGCTGGTTGGAGCCTTGGGGGGATGGGGTTTGTGGGGACACCGACCTGGAATTGGGGTTTTGTCACCGAGGTCAAACTCCCAGCAGGGATGGACTGGATGGACGCTGCTCCTGGCCTGTCTGGCCCCAAAATTCCTCCCTCCCTTCCCACCCAAATTCTATAAATAACAAATAACAACAACTCCCAGCCTGCTGAGCTATTTGGGGTTTTTGTGGGGATTTTTTTTTTTGTGCTTTGTTTTGCTTTTTGTGCGTTTAGGAAGTCACTTCTCACAGAAACCACTTTGTTTTTTCACTGCATTCCTCGTTGTTCCTGTTTATCCAAAGCTTTGCCCAGGTGAGGCCAGAGGTTTTCCAGGTGGGAAGCAAAGCTGTGCTGGATGTGTCCAGGCCTTGCTTTGGGCATCTCTCCTTCCCTTCCCACCCTTCTTTCCTTTCCCTGCCTGTCCCAGAGCCTGAGGCAGCCTCGGTGCATTCATTTCAGACTGAGTGTAAATAAGGCTTTGGGATTTCTCCCAGCCAAGCAAACTTTCCAACCAGGATTTTGCTTCCCTCTGCTCCCACCTGGCTCAGGGGATGGGAAGGATTTGTTCTGGTGTCTTCTTCTGCACTGGAAACCTGAAATATCCCTAAAATATCCCTGGAATATCCCTGAAATACCCCTGGAATATCCCTGGAATACCCCCGGAATACCCCTGGAATACCCCTGGAATACCCTGAAATACCCCTGGAATACCCCTGCCTTTTGTTTGTCCAGCTCTTTGGGAATGCTGAGCTCAGCTCATCAGGAATTCCCACTGGGAGCACAAATTTCTTTTCCTCTGGGGCAATCCCAGAAGCTCCTGCATCCCCCAAGGCCTCCCTGCATGCCCAGAGGGATGTTGGAACTTTGGAATTTGCAGGAATTTTGCAGTTACAGCCATGAGCTTCCAGCTTCTTTGCATCTCTCCTCTCTCCTGTCCTGTTTTCCCATCCCCCTGATGGATTTTGGAGCTCCTTGATGTCTCGGGACTTCCATGACGGATGGATTTGGATTTGGGATTGGGGAGAATAATCAGAAAACCGGCTCCATGTGCATGTCCTGGGCTTGGCAGGAGACAGCAGCTCCACCTCTATCACTTTGCTGATCTCTGGTACCTCGGGGCAGTGCTGTGATTTACTGAACTGAAGTTATTGTTTTGGAATGTCTCGGTTCCTCTGTTCCCAAAAAACAGAGATCTGAGCTGCTCTCCCACATCTCCCTTGTGCTGCTCCCCAGAGTAGAGACCTGGACTCATCCCAGGCTCTGGGATTTGCCCTGGCCAGGAAGGGCCTGGGGGTGCAGCAGTTTTGGGGAAAAGTGAGAGATGTCCCATCCCAAGGGCTGCCCCCTTTAGGGTTTGGCCCAGGCTCGTTGTTGGTTTTAAACCTGACAAATTCAGCTCAAGCCTGGTCCTGTTCTGGGAGCAGCAGGGAAAGGGATTCAGGGGGGCTCAGCTGGGCAGGGCAGGGATTGGGGAATTTAGAGGAGGAGAGGGAGCTGGGAGCTGTGGGATGAGCCTGTGCCAGTGAGGGAAGGGTCTGTTCACCTCCCCCTGTGCCTGCAGAGCTGCTGCCTCTTCTTGGGGGCATTTTGGGAGCTGCTGCTTGAGCATTTCCCAGGGCATTGCCTCTGCACTTCCCAGGGCATTCCCTCTGCACTTCCCAGGGCATTGCCTCTGCACTTCCCAGGGCATTCCCTCTGCACTTCCCAGGGCATTCCCTCTGCACTTCCCAGGGCATTCCCTCTGCATTTCCCAGGGCATTCCCTGTGCCCTTCCCAGGGCATTGTCTCTGCATTTCCCTGAACATTTCCTCTGCACTTCCCAAGGCATTCCCTCTGCATTTCCCAGGGCATTCCCTCTGTATTTCCCTCAGCATTCCCTCTTCATTTTCCTGAACATTCTCCCTGCATTTCTCAGGACATTCCCTCTGCATTTCCCTTTGCATTTCCTGCGCCCTTCCCTGAACATTCCCTCTTCATTTTCCTGAACGTTCCCTCTGCATTTCCCTTTGCATTCCCTCTGCATTTCCCTGCGGATCCCAAAGGTCAGGAAGCTGTGGGGCAGGAGCTGTGGGGTCTGTGCTGAGCCCACACCTGCCCAGCTTCTCCCAGCCCCTCCTGGTTCCTTCCCCCCCCATTCCACGGGCTCAGCCCCATCCCCACATTCCCTGCAGCAGCCTGTGGGACGCGGGGCAGGGAAGGATCAGCTCACCCAAACTTCATTCCTGCCTATTTTTGTCCCTCCCCTGGCCAGCTTGTTCCTGGGGGAGTTAATTTAATTGCCACCTTCCTCCCTGCGTGGCTGCGGTTGTGTGTGAGCCCTTGTGCAGGGTAATTACAAGTGTGAAGTGGACATTGGTAGGGACGAGCCTGGGCTCCATCCCAGCCGGAGCAGCAGCCTGGGTGTCCCTGTGGATCCACCCAGCCAGGGCTCCAGCCTGTCCTTGTCCCCAGGAACGGGCACACAGGGGGCAGGGGGTGCTCTGGAGGCAGCACAGAGGGGCAGGGACAGCGACCTGCTGAGCTCAGCCCTTCTCGGGGCAGGGATCTGCTGAGCTCAGCCCCTCTCCTGTGCTGCCCCTGATTTTCCAGCCCTTTTTCCCAATCCCTGACCCGCAGGGAAGGGGGTCTGGAGGTGACGGGGCTGGTTTGGGCAGTCCTGAGGCTGCCCAGGACATGTCACAGCAGAAACCAGAGCTTGGGGACTCAGTGGGAGCTTCACCTCTGGCTCCACTCAGAGCTCCTCATCCTTGGCATGGGACATCTCTGGCTTTCCCCCAAAACTCCTGCACCCCCAGCCCCTTCCTGGCCATCCTCACCATCCATTTCCCATGCTCATCCACCAGGATTTCACATCTGCCTTTGGATCAGGGCTGGCCGGGGCGGGTCCGGGCTGGGCCATGACGGAGGCTGTGGGATGTGATTCACCCCACACCTCTGCGCCCGCCCGTGGGGAGATGACAGCCTGCTCTCCTCACCTCTCCATTTTGCTCCAGGCTTTTTCCAGAGGCATGGGAATGGCTTTTCTCCCATCTGGGGCTCACGTGCTCGCGCTCCGTCGGGATTTGGAGCCGATGCTGTCGTGCAAAATTCAGCTGGAGCTGCTGGGTTTCCCTTGGTTGAGCCCCAAAATCGCCGCAGCTGTGAGAGCTGTGAGCAGAGCTCTGGGCTGGGATGAGTTTTCCTTCCCAAAAAAAAACCCCAAACAAACAAACAAACCAACCCTATTTCAGGATCTCCAGCACCCCAGGCTGGATCTGCACCCTGGGGAGGGAAAACTGAGGCACGTGGATGACTTTGGAGGGTGTTGTGGAGCTGAGCAGCATCACTCCAGACCGGCTGCAGCATTTCCAGCTCCTGCTGATCCCGGGGTGCAGCTGGAACCCCCCAACTTCCTTCGTTATGCTCCTTTTAATTATCCATATTGATATTTAATTATCTCTGCCCTCCTTTCCTCCTCGGCCCTGGTGTGTGGAACCCTGGTTTTATGGAGGATAACGAGGCGTCCCAGGCCTCTTTCCCCCTCCCGTGCCCTCCCTGGCTGCTTGCAGGGCTCCTGTTCCAGCCAGGGCAATTATGGCTCTCTGCTCTCCCTCCCTCTGCCCAGCCCTATAATTTAGTTTTATATAAAGTGCGTTCCAGCCCCTGTTGTGCAAGACGTTGCTATTCCAGGGGATGGGCTGGGAGGGGGCTGGGGTGGTGTGGCATGGCACCGAGCCCCCCCTGGGCACCCCAAATTCCCCAGGGGATGGAGCAGCCCGCTCCCAGCAGCGCTGGAGGTGATCCTGCCTCCTCCTGCCTTTCTGCAGGGGTTGTTGGGCACCGGGATTTCTCCCATGGGGATTCACTCAGCTCCTTGCAGGTTTTTCCTGCCCCACCGAGGGGTCCTGCAGGGGCTGCTGCTGCTGCAGAGTGCAGGAGGACGAGGGAAGGTGGCAGGCAGCTCCCGCAGGGAACACAGTGGCCCTTTCATGGGAGGGGGGATGAAAAATCCAGCTTGGACCGCTGGGTGTAACCAGATCCCTCGGCTTTTTGGAGAAGGAATGTGAGAGCTTGGGGAGGCTTTTTGGGATGGCGCTGCAGCGGGGTGAGCAGCTGCGGAGCAATGCTGCCCAAACCCGCAGGCTACGTGCCACGGGGATGCGGCTCGGGAATCAGAGCCCGACCCCAAAATTTGACCCCAAAATTTCTCTTGCAGAGGTTCCTGAGCCCTCGCTCCCCGTCCCAAGGCAGATCCCAGCGGATCCCCGGTGCCCCGCGGTGCCGAAGAAGGACAAAGCCCTGGAAGGGGACAAATCCCCGGTGACAGTGCTGCCCAAAGGCCCCCGGACCGAGGCTGTGACATGTGAGTGTTCTCCACCAAAAAGCAGGGCAGAGGTGGGAACCCGGCTCCTCCTGGCTTTGTTCCTCGCCACATCAAAGCTCGAAGCCAGCCTGAGTCACCTGGAGAGGTGAAAGTGAAGGGCGGCTCCCAGGGGTGGCTCCGGTGCCCTCGGAGCGGCTGCAGCTGCTCTGGGAAGGGTTGGGGCTCTCCGGGGGCCGTGGTGGGAAGAGGGATGAGCCTGCCTGGGAAAGGAGCATCCCCCAAAACCCAGGGGGAGAGAGGAGACCCACAAAGAACGTTCTGATGGGCACGGCTCCAGGATGTCTCCATGGCACGGCCGTGGGGTATTTCCATGGGCACAGCCCTGGGGTGTCTCAATGGCACAGAATTTCCATGGGGCACAGCCCCAGGATGTCCCTGTGTCACATCCCCAGGATGTCCCCATGGCACAGCCATGGGGTATTTCCATGGGCACAGCACTGGGGTGTCTCGATGGCACAGAATTTCCATGGGCACAGCCCCGGGATGTCCCTGTGCCACAGCTCCAGCATGTCCCTGTGCCATATCCCCAGGCTGGAAGGGGACAAATCCCCGGTGACAGTGCTGCCCAAAGGCCCCCGGACCGAGGCTGTGACATGTGAGTGTTCTCCACCAAAAAGCAGGGCAGAGGTGGGAACCCGGCTCCTCCTGGCTTTGTTCCTCGCCACATCAAAGCTCGAAGCCAGCCTGAGTCACCTGGAGAGGTGAAAGTGAAGGGCGGCTCCCAGGGGTGGCTCCGGTGCCCTCGGAGCGGCTGCAGCTGCTCTGGGAAGGGTTGGGGCTCTCCGGGGGCCGTGGTGGGAAGAGGGATGAGCCTGCCTGGGAAAGGAGCATCCCGCAAAACCCAGGGTTAGAGAGGAGACCCACAAAGAACGTTCTGATGGGCACGGCTCCAGGATGTCTCCATGGCACGGCCGTGGGGTATTTCCATGGGCACAGCCCTGGGGTGTCTCAATGGCACAGAATTTCCAGGGGGCACAGCCCTGGGATGTCCCCGTGCCATATACCCAGGGTGTCCCCGTGCCATAGCCCTGGGATGTCCCTGTGCCACAGCCCCGGGATGTCCCCGTGCCATATCCCCAGGTCGTCCCCGTGCCACAGCCCCGGGATGTCCCCGTGCCATATCCCCAGGTCGTCCCCGTGCCACAGCCCCGGGATGTCCCTGTGCCACAGCCCTGGGATGTCCCTGTGCCATATCCCCAGGGTGTCCCTGTGCCATAGCCCCGGGATGTCCCTGTGCCACAGCCCTGGGATGTCCCTGTGCCATATCCCCAGGATGTCCCTGTGCCATATCCCCAGGGGGTCCCTGTGCCGTAGCCAAAGGGTGTCCCCGTGTCACACCCCTGCCATGTCCCGTGCCTTAGCCGCTCTCAGGGGCAGAAGCAGCCCTGGGCTGTCCCACTGGGCCAGCTCTTGCCTTGGAAACTCCAGGGCAAGGGTGAGGCTGAGCCGAGCCTGGCTGAGCCAAGCCTGGCTGAGCTGAACCTGGCTGAGCCGGGCCTGGCTGAGCTGGGCCTGGCTGAACCAGGCCGGGCTGAACCAAGCTGGGCTGAGCCAAGCCTGTCTGAGCCGGGCCTGGCTGAGCTGAGCCTGACTGAGCAGGACTGGCTGAACCAAGTCTGGCTGAGCTGGGCCTGGTTGAGCTGGGCCTGGTTGAGCTGGGCTGGCTGCCCCGGGCCTGGCTGAACGGGGCCTGGCTGAGTCGAGCCTGAATGAGCTGAGCCTGGCTGAACCGGGCCTGGTTGAGCCAGGCTGTTTGAGCCGAACCTGTTTGAGCCGAGCCTGGCTGAGCCAGGCTTGGCTGAGCCTGGTTTTGCTGCAGGCGGTGGCAGGGCCTGGCAGCACCTCCCAAACTCCGCTGGCGGTGCCCCCGGCCGTGTGGGATGGGGCAGGGCCGGGTGGGGTGGGGTACCCCCAGCCGTGTGGGGTGAGGCAGGGCCGTGTGGGGTACCCCCGGCCGTGTGGGGTGGGGTACCCCCAGCCGTGTGGGGTACCCCCAGCCGTGTGGGATGGGGCAGAGCCGGGTGCCCTCTCTCTGTGGCGGGGCAGGGCTGGGGGAGCGCCGCTGGCAGCTGTGGGAGCCTCTCCTGGAGCCGTCCATCCCTCCCTGGCCCCCAGCCCGATCCCAGCCTTTCCCTCCCATTCCCTTTCTGCTGGATGCCAGCTTCCCCTTCCAAGGGGTGTAAAGTGGATGGGAGCTGCCCAGGGGGGTGGGGGCGGCTGGCAGCGGGGCTGGCCCTGCGGAGGGCGGCATGGCAGAGGGCAGAGGGCAGAGGGCAGCGGGTGCTGCAGCGAGGACAGCGCACGTTTCCTGCGCCTGAGCCCTGGCGCGGCGGCCGCGGGCTGGGCCGGCTGCCCACAGACATTCTGCACGCCTGAGTCACGCCGCAGCCGCTGCACAGCCCCCTCCCCAGCCCAGCCCAGCCCCCCGCGGCTGCCAGGGCTTCGGGCTCCCTCCTCCTGGTGCTGCTGAAGGGACCTTTCCCTCTCCTCGCTGGGAAAGGAGCAGCGTCACCTCTGGTGTCCCCACTCCTCACTGCGCTGCTCTGGGGGGGGTCACTGCTGGTTTTTGGGGGTTATTCCCAGTTTTGGCGGCACATTTAGGCTCTCCCATGGGATGGTGGCATTCCCGTGCCAGCCTGGTTCGTGCAGGCTCAGGAGGGGAGGGCAGAAGGGGCTGGAGGGTGCAGGGTCACGTCCTTGCCCACCAGTGCCAGGACTGGCCCCTCCGAGGCTCAGCTCTGCGCTCAAATCCAGTTCTGCAGCATTTTGGAACATTGGGATTGAGGGTTTGGTATTTTGTGTGTTGAGTCTCAGGCAGGAGCAGCAGACCCAGGTGGGCACAATATTCCAAGCCCCAGCAGTGGCTCAGGGAAGGTCCCAGCAGGGGGACCCGGTGATGCTGCCCTGGGACACTGAGGGGATCCAGGAGCATCACCTCGGTGGGAAGCCCAAAGTGAACATCCAGGAGGTTTTTGGTTATTAAAGAGCTCTAGACAGGCAGTTTCCCCCACAATCCTGTTTTCCAGGGCTGGTGCCCCCACTCCTGCATTACTGGGGAGCTGAAGGTGCCTCTTTCAGCAGAGCTTTGGCCTCGTGTCTTAAAGGCTGTCCTACACAAATGGAAGCTGTTTTCCCTCACTTTGAGGGGGGGGATTCCTGGCTGCCTTTGGCTGCCCCTCGCCGGGGCCAGAGCGTGATTTTGATTTACAAACAGTTTAATCTGAGGAATGCAGCGAGGTGGGGAGCCAAGTGCATCCTGCTGCAGTCCCAGGGAATCCAGCTGCCGTCCCAGGCTGCTGAGCTGCTGCTGCCTCCCTCTTCACTCAGCCCCTGCCCAGCTCCCTGCAGGCTCAGCCCCTCCTGGCACAGCCTGGGCACCGTGGTCACCTCGGTGCCATCTCGGGGCACACACGAGGCAGGAGAGGGCACACAGGTAGTGAACGCTCCGTGAGGATTTTAGGAAGGGGAGACATTCCCTGTTTCATCCAAGGCCTGTTTTCTGTCTCCCACCTCTCCTGCTCTCAGCCCACTCTTCCCGCTCCGCTCTGGTTATTTTAAGTTCCCTTCCCAGCGGGTGTCAAAGACCAAGCTCCCACTTTAACCTCCCTCTGCAGCCCAAACCCAGCTCAGCCTGCTCAAACCAAGCACTGGGACCGTCCACTTGTGTCTTTCACCTTCTATCTGTTTTATTTTCACCTTCCACCCACTTCATTTTCACCTTCTATCTGTTTTATTTTCGTGGATGCAGGACAGGGACCGCCTGTGCCCGCTCCACCCCTGTGTCCCCCTGTGCCCTGCACAGAAAGCAGCTCCTGTTCCCTGGTGCCAAGAGGTGCCTTTGCCCTCGAGCCTCTCCCCTGAATCATCCCTTGTTTACTGCCATGGCAGTGGAAAAGCAAAGTTTGGCCGAAGCACCACCAGACAGGAATTTTATTTTATTTTATTTTTTATATTTTATTTTATTTTACTTTATTTATTTTATTTTATTTTATTTTATTTTATTTTACTTTATTTTATTTTGTTTTATTTTATTTATTTTATTTTATTTTATTTATTTTATTTTGTAATTTATTTTTATTATTTTATTTTATTTATTTTAATTTACCTTATTTTCTATATTTTCTTTTATTTTCTTTTATTTTCTTTTATTTTATTTTATTTTATTTTATTTTATTTTATTTTATTTTATTTTATTTTATTTTATTTTATTTTATTTTATTTTATTTTATTTTATTTTATTTTATTTTATTTTATTTTATTTTATTTTATTTTATTTTATTTTATTTTATTTTATTTTATTTTATTTTATTTTATTTTATTTTATTTTATTTTATTTTATTTTATTTTATTTTATTTTATTTTATTTTATTTTATTTTATTTTATTTTATTTTATTTTATTTTATTTTATTTTATTTTATTTTATTTTATTTTATTTTATTTTATTTTATTTTATTTTATTTTACTTTATTTTATTTTGTTTTATTTTATTTATTTTATTTTATTTTATTTATTTTATTTTGTAATTTATTTTTATTATTTTATTTTATTTATTTTAATTTACCTTATTTTCTATATTTTATTTTATTTTATTTTATTTTATTTTATTTTATTTTATTTTATTTTATTTTATTTTATTTTATTTTATTTTATTTTATTTTATTTTATTTATTCTATTTTACTTTATTTGTGGCATTACTGAGGAGGATGGTGGCTGCTGGAACCTTGTGCTGGTTCCCAGTCCTCTCCCAGGCGAGGATGAGGAGGCAGCGTGGGCACAGCCCCCCCTGTGGCTGTGGCAGGACACAGGGCTGCGGCAGGAGGGGCTGGGGGGAGGCACAGCCACAGCTCTGCGTTATTTCCCTCCTCCTGCAGAGAAGTTCAGCCAGAGGTTGCAGAGCCCTCGGGAAGCGGCCGGTGTCTGCAGGGCCGGGCGCGGCGCGGCTGGGCTGGCTCTGCCCGGCACCTCGGTGCCTTCATCCCTGCTGGCCGTGCAGGCCACCTCCTCCTTCCGCTCCTCTGAGCTTCAGCCCATCCTTCACGACAAATCTTCATTTCTTGGGGTTTTTCCATCCCTTCCTCTCTCTGGAGCCTTTCCTCCTCCTCTCCAGCCACCTTTTCCACATCTGCTGTTCCATCTCCCTCCTCTTGGACCATCCGTCCATCAGCTCACCCCGTGTCCACCTGGTGACCAAATTCCCCTTTTCCTCCAGGGTCTGGGTACATGTTTCTTGTCACCCTGATTTTTAAAGATTTTTTAAACCTTATGATATTTACATTCTCGTAACTAACTTTCTCACTTTCTGTAAATAACTTATTGTTCTGCATTCTTTTATGGAGGAGGACAAATTTGACGGACTGTTGGTTTGTCCGGTGTCATTGGAGAGGTGGCACTGTCACCCTCCAATCCACTGTCACCTTTGGAAACCTATAAATGCTAGAGTCAGAAAACAAAAATCCCTTTTTACCTCGGAGAGAGCCGCGAGTCCGCGTCGTGTTGTTTCGTGCCCTGTGGTGGCAGTTTCTCCCGGTGGAGAGGGCAGGGTGGGCAACGTACTTTCTCACTTTCTGTAAATAACTTATTGTTCTGCATTCTTTTATGAAGGAGGACAAATTTGACGGACTGTTGGTTTGTCCGGTGTCATTGGAGAGGTGGCACTGTCACCCTCCAATCCACTGTCACCTTTGGAAACCTATAAATGCTAGAGTCAGAAAACAAAAATCCCTTTTTACCTCGGAGAGAGCCGCGAGTCCGCGGCGTGTTGTTTCGTGCCCTGTGGTGGCAGTTTCTCCCGGTGGAGAGGGCAGGGTGGGCAACGTACTTTCTCACTTTCTGTAAATAACTTATTGTTCTGCATTCTTTTATGAAGGAGGACAAATTTGACGGACTGTTGGTTTGTCCGGTGTCATTGGAGAGGTGGCACTGTCACCCTCCAATCCACTGTCACCTTTGGAAACCTATAAATGCTAGAGTCAGAAAACAAAAATCCCTTTTTACCTCGGAGAGAGCCGCGAGTCCGCGTCGTGTTGTTTCGTGCCCTGTGGTGGCAGTTTCTCCCGGTGGACAGGGCAGGGTGGGCAACCTGCTGCTCTCCCTGGCAGGGTGGGTAACGTGCTGCTCTTCCTGGCAGGGTGGGTAACGTGCTGCTCTCCCCTCCAGGCCAGCCCCAGGTGCGACCACCCCCGCAGCCCCCCGGGCCCTGCACGCAGCTGCTGCCCAACGGCGAGGCGGGCAACGGGAGCTGCCGGGCCGCGCCCGGCGCGCAGAAACCGCCGCGGAAGCTGCAGCCGCCCCACTCCATCAACAGCCAGAGCAGCAAGAAGAGCAAGGGCAGCTCCAAGTCGCCCTCTTCACACATCCCCATTGAGGCGCAGGAAGGTACTGGCTCAACCCTGGCGGTGTCTTCTCTTTCAAGCCATTCTCCTTGGGCCCCTCATTCCTATGGATCTCTTGGGTGAACCCCCCGGCCCCTCATGTGTTGGGATCTCTTGGTGGCATTCTCCAAGCCCTGGGCCCCTCATTCCTATGGATTTCTTGGTGGCATCCAAGTCCTTGAGCCCCTCGTCCCTTGGGATCTTTTGGATGGAACCCTCAGGCCCCGCATGCATTGGGATCTCTTGGGTGGCATTCTCCAAGCCCTGGGCCCCTCATCCCTTGGGATCTCTTGGTGGCACCCTCCAAGCCCAGCAGGCCCCTGGACCCTCCTGGCAGCCTCTGCAGGGCAGGCGCTGAGCAGGGCCATCTCCTGTCCTCCAGAATTGGTCTCTCCTGAGGGCTGGGTGTTGAGGGAGACCCCTGGGGCAGTGGCTGCCTCCCAGCCCCGTTTCCCCTCCCTTCCATGAGTTCCCGAGGGAGGATTTCCACCCTCGTGCTGCTCCCCCAGCACCTGCCGTGCCTGGCTTTGTCTCACCCGCGCGTTCCTCCCCAGACTGCTGCGTCCACTGCATCCTCTCCTGCCTCTTCTGCGAGTTCCTGACCCTCTGCAACATCGTGCTGGACTGCGCCACCTGCGGCTCCTGCACCTCCGAGGACTCCTGCATCTGCTGCTGCTGCTGCAACTCGGGCGAGTGCGCGGACTGCGACCTGCCCTGCGACATGGACTGCGGCATCATCGACGCCTGCTGCGAGTCCGCCGACTGCCTGGAGATCTGCATGGAGTGCTGCGGGCTCTGCTTCTCCTCCTGAGGGGCCCTGCTGGGGGGGGACCCGCACGGGACCCCCCGGGCTGTCCCACAGCGGGCGAGGAGCCAGCCGGTCTGGGAGGAGGAGGAGGAGGAGGAAGAGAGCGAATCCCCCGCTGGAATCCTCGTCCTTGGAGCCGTGTCCTGCCCAGGGAAGGGTGACCCCAGGGGGCTGCGGGGGCTCTGGGGGTGTCCTGGCCTGCTCTACCTCTGCCAGCACTGGGGGGCACCCCGGGAGCCTCCTGCCACCTGAGCCGAGAGCAGGAGAGCTTGTCACACAGAGCCAGCCCAGAACTGGGGACAGCCCATCCTGCAGAGCCACCCCAGCCTTAGGGACAGCTGTCACACAGAGCCACCCCAGCCTGGGGGACACCCAGTCCCACAAAGCCAGCCCAGCCTTGGGGACAGCCCGTCCTCCAGAGCTACCCCGGGTCTTGGCCTTGGGGACACCCTATCCCATAGGGCCACCCCAGCTCCTGGGCGGGGAGCCGTCACACAGAGTCCCCTCAGCCTTGGGGACACCTGTCCTGCAGACCCACCCCAGCACTGGGGACACCCAGTCCCACAGAGCCACCCCAGCTCCTGGCGTTGGGGACAGCCCATCCTGCTGCCACCACCCCAGGACACTCCAGGGGTTACAGGGGTGGCACGGAGCAGGGACATCACCCAGGCTGGGTGACCCATGGGCACTGGGACACGCTGGAGCCTCCAGCCCTCTGCGTGGTCCCCAGCTGGGGGACACGTCCTGCCAGGCCCCTGCCCCCGGTGCCCAAGTGCAATACCCACAGAAGCTTTTCCTGCAGCTGTGCCAAGCTCTGTGTGTCCCCCATGTGTCCCCCGTGTGTCCCAGTCATGGTGGGGCAGGATGGCGTGGCTTGGTTGGTGCCAAATGACCCCCAGCAGTTGCTGGCCCCATCCTGGGGACAGAGGTGGGGGTGGCAGACACCCCTCAGATGGGCTGGGGGGATGCCTGCTGAAGTGTCACAGTATTTTTTTTTATTTTTTTTTTTTGTTCCTTTTTACTGTAAATAAAGGTCTTTCTTCATTTCTGACTGGCGGCTGGCCCAGCACGTGCTCTGCAGGGCCCTCCCTGGAGACAGAGGCTCCGTGTCCCCTGTCCCTGCGGCCCGTCCTGCTCCCAGCTGGCTTTGGGGACATGGGACAGGTCAGTGAAAGCCCCAGCGTGCTCCTGTTTGCTCCTTGTGCTGGGAAGGAAAATGCAACAGGACTCTCTGTCCTTGGCTTCGGGGAACAGGTTGAGGTCCTGGAGTGCCCTGGCTGCCCTGGGACAAACCCTGGGACAAACCCTGGGACAAACCCTGGCTCCTCTGAGACAAACCCTGGCCTGCCTTGGGACAAACCCTGGCTCCCCTGGGACAAACCCTGGCTCCTTTGGGACAAACCCTGGGCTCCTTTGGGACAAATCCTGGCTGCCCTGGGACAAACCCTGGCTCCTTGTCCCACCACCCCTGGGATGTCCCCTGCTCTGAGCTGCTTCACCAGCCCCATGGCACAAATTCCCCAAAGGAGAAAATAAATTATGCACATTCCTGTGGAAGGGCTGGGCCTGGTGAGGTCACTGCCCTTGGATTTGGGGTGGCTTTGGCCGCTCCTGCCCTGGGTGGGACCCCCACCCGTGCCAGGCCATGCCAGCAGGGTCAGGGACCCCGACCCCACTCCGGGGTCTCGCTGCCCTTGGAAAGGCTCGGCTGGCCCGGCTCAGCTGCTGCCGGGGCTGAAGCTGAACGGGGAGGGAAAAGCACTCAAACAGCGAGGCCAAATGGGTCAGTTGGTCACGGCGACAAGGGCGGCTGTGGGATCTGGGCTCGCTGCCCTCCGGCGCCGCCGCTCAGCCGGCAATCCTATTTTTAGTGGTGAGCAAGAGCCCAGCGTGGTGCAAGTGCACAGAGGAGACACAGAGGATGCTGCGGGCAGCCTTCCTCCACCCCACAGCCCGCAGGGAGCTGGGGATGCTGGCTTTGGGGGTGACCCCCCGGTAAAGCAGTGAGGGCTGGTGTGGGATGCACATCCCTGCCCACCCTGGCACAAAATCGGGGTCTCATGTGGCACTGGCAGGGTCGGCCAGAGCTTTTGCACAGGCTCTGCTCCAAGCCCTTCGCATCCTTGGCAGGGAGCGCTGGCCTTCCCCAGCCTGGCCTCGCTGCTGCTGCTAATTAGGGAGCTTGGAGCTGGCAGGGCTGCTCCGCCAGCCGCAGCCGCCTAATGGGGAACAGATTCCCCCGGTGCAGTGCCCTGAGGGTGGGGTGGGGGTCACGCACACCCCAAACCCCCCTCCTGCTCCTCCTCACAGCCCTTTAGTGCTGCTCCCAAAGGAGCAGGTCCCCATGCAGAGCAGGGATGGGATCCTGGAGTGTTTTCCTCCATGGGTGTGATGTGATGTTCACGCCTGTGAACGGACTCCAGTGAGAGCTGCCTTCCAGAAAATGCAAATAAAAGAGCAATAATCAGCACAGGGCTGCCCAAAGCTCTGCCCTCTGCAACCCCCCCTTCAGAGTTGTTCCCACTTTCCTCAGCAGCTCCTCAGGGCTGGAGGTTGGAAGGGGCAAAGACAGATTTATTTCAGCCCCGACCCCAAACCTGAGGTGGGTTCTCTGCCCTGGGCAGTGCTGGCTGCTCTGCTCAGGCCCCTGGAGCTCCTGGAAATCCCAGGGTGGTTCTGGGATGTGGGAATGATGGATCAGAGCAGGGATTGGTGACCCAGAGCAGGGAGTGATGAACCAGAGCAAACTCAAGTCCCTGAAAGGGCTTGAAAAGCCGATTTAAAGCCTTCCCCTGGATGCCAGTTGGCACTGGCCATGCAGGTTGCAAAGCACTGGGCAAGGCAAGAGTTAAACCCTCCTGCCTGGGAATTAATTAACAACAGATGTGCTTGGTTTTAACTAATTACTCTCCTGCCAGCACTCGGTTTTTATGGTTTTCTCAGAGTTGGAGCACCGTGCCCACACCAATGCTGATCCTGCTGGGTTTTCCTGGGCACCCTGGGCTTCCCTGCCCGCCTTCCCCGGCCTGGCTGGCCCTGAGTTTGATGTTTTAAGTGAAACAATTCAGTGAAATTGGCTAAAATCCGTTCAAACTCCAGTCACCTAAACCAGCATTGCTGGGATTTTGGTGCGGGGTGTGACCCCTGGGGTGGGCAGTGCCACGGGAATTTTCTTTTCCTACAATCCCTGCTGAGGATTGGTCATTCCTGGGATATTGGATGTCTTAACGAAGGGTGCTCGTTGTTTAATTGCTGATGGATTCCAGGGGCTGCTCGGCCTGTTCTGGGTGCAGCCAGAGCAGAGCAAGAGGGACGAGGAGAAGCCTGGAAATTCTTCAGGCAGGTGAGGAAGCCCTGGGATCCAGACCTGCCTCATCCCACTGCCCCCAGCTCCCCAAACCCGCCCTGGTTTTTCCATGGATGGAGGAGCCCCACATTTGGCTGCTCCCTCGGCGGGGAGGGCTGTCAGCAGCCTGGGCTATTTCTGTCCTCAATCACGATCAATAAAGCAGGAGAGGATTTTTATTTTCCACTCCAAATACTTTCTCCATCCTGTTTCCTCCCCGTTCACACGGCGCGCTGGGGAGCGCTCCAGCAAGGAGGCCCAGGGAGCTTTCTCCTCCTCTTCATCCTCCTCCTCCTCCTCTTCACCCTCCTCCTCCTCATTCCAAAGCAACCCCTGCTCCTGCTCGGTGCCACCCCAGAATTCCCTGGCGATCCCTGAAGGCCCAGGGAGCTTTCTCCTCCTCTTCATCCTCCTCCTCCTCCTCTTCACCCTCCTCTTCATTCCAAAGCAAGCCCTGCTCCTGCTCGGTGCCACCCCAAAATTCCCTGGCGATCCCTGCAATCCGAGGGGCAGGTTCAGCTGGAAGGCGGCAGCAAGGCCTCGCACACGTGCGTGCGCACACACACCAGAAAAGAAAACACTCCCGGAGCCAAAATAAAATAAAAAAAAAAATGAAATAAAACAAACCCGGGTTTTTGGAAGGCAGAGCAGCTCATGTAATCCCAGATTCTGGCGGGATGGGGGCCGAGGGGAGACGACTGCAGTCTATTAAACTTCCTTTGAGAAGCTGCCAGGCTGACAGCAGCTGGAAGGAATTAACGTTTCGGGGCCACCGGCCCGGCTGCTGCTCCCAGGGTCCCGGCCAGCCCGAGGCCCGGCACATCCCAATTTCCCGTTCCCCATTCCCACTGCCTGAGCCCCCGGGCCCGCCAGAGCCGTGAGCGGCCTCTGCACGAGACACCTGGTGCTTTTCCAGAGCCTTTTCCAGCTTTTTGGAAAGGTTTTTCCACCTTTTCCAGAGCCTTTTCCAGCTTTTATAGAGCCTTTCCACCTTTCCCAGAGTCTTTTCCCACTTTTTTGGAAAGGTTTTTCCAGCTTTTCCCCAGCTTCTCCACCTTTTCCAGGAGCCGTTTCCAGCTTTTCCAGAACCTTTTTCCATTTTTGGGAAAGGTTTTTCCACCTTTTCCAGAGCCTTTCCGAGCTTTTCCAAAGCCTTTTCCACACTTTCCAGAGCCTTTTTGAAGATCTTCCAGATATTTTCCCACCTTTTGCAGAAGTTTTCCCACCTTTTCCAGAGGTTTTCTCACCTTTTCCAAAGCCTTTTCCCAGCTTTTCCAGAGACATGTCCCAGTTTTTCCAGAACCTTTTCCACCTTTTCCAGAGATTTTCCCAGGTTTTTCAAAGGCTTTTCCAACTTTTCCAGAACCTTTTCTACCTTTCCCAGCTTTTCCAGAGGCTTTTCCACCTTTTCCAGAGGTTTTTCCAGGCAGCCCCTCAGGAAGAGGAGCCTCCCAAACCCAAATAATGATTTCCTGCCCGGTTGTTTTCTTTTGGAAACCGGAGAGGGGCTGGAATTTGGGAATATCTGGGAGCTGGAGGTGCCAATGTTTGAAAGGAATTAAGGGGAACTTTTTGGAGAGAGGAAAATTCGGTGCTGAATTTAGCCCTAGGTGGGTTAAACTGAGTTGTGGGGAGAAAAAAGATATGGTAAAAAAAAAATAATTAAAATTATATTTAAATTTTGGGAATATCTGGGAGCTGGAGGTGCCAATGTTTGAAAGGAATTAAGGGGAACTTTTTGGAGAGAGGAAAATTCGGTGCTGAATTTAGCCCTAGGTGGGTTAAACTGAGTTGTGGGGAGAAAAAAGATATGGTAAAAAAAAAATTAAAATTATATTTAAATATCATATTAAAATATTATACCAGAATATTACATTGAAATATCACAAATTTCAAAGCAAAATATATTTTAATGTATCTATATTTAATATTTTAATAAATTATATCTATAATATATTTTAATATGTTTTAATAAAAATAAAAATTGTAAGGTAAAGTAGATTCTATAAAACATTATATTGAAATATATTCTCTAGAATATATTATATAAAAAGATATAAATATAAATATAATATTTATAAATATATCAAATATATTATAAATATTTAAATATATCAAAATATATTATAGAATTATATAAAAATATAATATGAAGATATAGAAATATATTATCCTTATATTAAATATTTTAATATATAATATATTAAAAATTAAATATGTATTTACATTTTTATATAGATTGGCTCTTTTTTTTGCACAAATATAGATTTTTCTATGTTCACCCAGCGGTATTTTATACATACACATATTATACATATTTATAAATATTTTATATATTTTTAAAATATATTTTATATATACACATACCTATATATACATATTTTTATATATTTATAGATATACATTCATATATTTGTGTATATATTATACATACATATATTATGTGTATTGTACATATAATGTGTATATATTAGATAGATATTGTATATATTATATATAATATTTATAATTATATTTATAATTCTATTTCTATTTATTTATATTAAAAATACCACTGTGTGAGTACAGTAAAATCTCTATTTGTGCTTTTCCCAACCACTTTGATCCCTCTTGGAG